GATCATCAAGAAAACGAGGCGATGAGTCCGAGCATGATCGCTGCAAGTCTGACCGACAAAGGGGCTGAGACCGATGTCAGGCAGATGGATGAACCATTGGCGCGGGCAGATCCACTGCTCCACGTGAGCACCTAAGTGAAGGCTCCGCTGGAGCAAAAAGGAGCCGTTCGGCCTCCCACCGCCAAACTACTTGCGTGCCATCGCGCGCAAGTCGACGGGAAGCGGGCAGCCCAGAGAAGGAGGAGGAGGAGGAGGAGAAGGACGAGGAGGAGGAGGAGACGGGAGCCAGGAGGAGGGGCATGGGAGAAGAGAGGTCCTCCCAGAGAACCAGCCGCAGCGAGGGCGGTCTCGACACCACGCCCTCCCCCACACGCCGGCATTCTACGACCGCCGCTGCAACACTGCCACCCTCCTCCTCACTCACTCCATCACTCACGAAGGATTGCAAAAAAACCCTGGATTGCAAAAAAAACCCTGGGGATTGCAAAAAAAAAACCTGGGTTTTTTTGCAATCCGGGTTTTTTTTGCAATCCTGGGTTTTTTTGCAATCCTGGGTTTTTTTGCAATCCTGGGTTTTTTTGCAATCCTTGGGTTTTTTTGCAATCCTGGGTTTTTTTTGCAATCCTCCACTCACGCACTCACTCACTCACTCACTCCTTCGCCCACGCAGGGCGTCGTGGTGCCAGCGCCCCAGGCAGCGGCGGGCGGGCAGCAGCGCCCGCCCGACGAGGGCTCCCGTTGAGCGCGCCCAGCAGCGGAGCCGCTGCCCCTGCCCGGGACAAGCTGTGTCGCACAATTCGGCCACCACTCTGCAACTGAGCCCAGGGTTAAGTCGGGCGTGTCCCCCTACAGGGGGATTTCGGAGGAAAATTAACAAAAAAAAACTCAAAAATACTCAAAAAATAGTCCCCAGACTATTTTGGGACTATTTTTGATTATTCCCCCTGTAGAGGGACAGGCTCGACTTAAGCCCAGGGGAATCCGCGCCCGCCGTGTCACCCCATCGATGCCAAGGAAAGGCGCCTGCCTGCGAGGACTTCACGCGTTTTCCGCTCCCCATCCGTAGAGGGTAACCTCCTGGGAGGTCTTCGTCAAAACGAGCAAGGGCTGTGAGACTAGGGGGCGATTGAGCAGGATCAGGCTGGAGTAAGCCCCGAATGCAACCAAATCAAGAGGGATTACACCAGATTCGGCGGGATCAAGGCAGAGCAAGCGGGATTAAACCAGATTAGGCAAATTCTCGACCAGGGACATACCAGCGACTAATATGACGTTAACCTCCCAGGAGTTGCATCCTAACCACCCCATCCGCCCCTCCTTCCCCGCCTGCAGAGCCATGCGGCAATGGCGCAGCAGGACTCTGTGACCCCGTCCGACCCACGGGGGAATACAGACATCAGCGACGACGTACTAACAAGTGCCGTGACAGGCACTAGAAGCCACTGGGACGCGCAAGGCACGCGACCACGAAAAACACGCGCAGGTCGTCCAGAAATGTGCAGCCTCTGCGGGAGACCCCAGGCCCGGCAACCACGCTTCAAAATCCAGACCCCCACCCGCAACCACCTTGTCGATGAACGGTGGTCAGGCCGAATCTCGTCGACGCGGGCGAGGCACTTGCAAGGTAACTGATCTTCAGCGAAGATCACACCTACCGCCTTCCACGAGTCACATAGCGCACGCACCCCTGGTTGTCATGCCTGCCACATGCACGCGTCACGCAGCGTGGCCGCCAGGTGCGCTACCTCAGCTCCCCCCCCCGCGAAAAGAACCAGAGGCAGAGGAAGGATGGCCCGCAGCCGCTTTGACTCGGAGGGAAAGCAGTGGAAGAGAGAGAGAGAGAGAGAGAGATCCTCCTTGTGTGCGCTGTTTTCTCTGGGGCGCCACTGCTGCCTGCCTGCAGGCCTGTACGACGCCGATGAGCACCCCCTGGGGCACCCTGCAGCCTGCCTGAGCCTCCGCGGCTTCAGCCTGCCTGAGCTTCCGCTGCTGGAGCCTGCCCGAGTCCCCGCTGCCTGAGCCTCTGCTCTTGATTGTATATATATATATATACAAGGCAGAGAGAGAGGAAAAGAAAAGAAACAAAAAAAAAAGAAAACAACGAGCGAGAGAAGAGAGCAGGGAGGGGGCGGGGAGAGAGAGAGATGGGGAGGACAGGCACCGGTGAGAACGTCTGAACCGAGGCCGTATACACCTCGCGCGCAGCACGCGCCGCGCGACGACTCGGAGCTCCGACGGGAGCGGGCGCGGAGCCTCCTGCCGTGGAGGCCAGCGCGGCCTCCCAAAGCTGGGCTGCCCGGGCACCAGCCGCGGGACGGAGGCCGGGGTGCCCCGCCAGAGCACCGAAGCTGCAGGCCCAGCCTACGGCAGCCAGCAGCGGGCGCGCGGGGGGCCCTGCCGCGCGGGGCACGGCGGGGCGGCGCGCGAGCGCGGCGCTGACCACCGCGCACCGGCCGCACGATGCGCATGTCTGCACCAGGGCCTTGGATCAACGACCAACGAGCCAATGTGAGGGGGCCCCAGGACACACAAATAAATATACACAAATAAAAATATTCCCCATATTTTCCCATGTTTTCCCACGTTTTCTGGGTTGCTGTCTTCCCCCGCCCTTCCCATAGTTTCCCATATTTTTTGAGGAATCGAAGATTCATTGTGTCTGTGTGTTTCTTTTCCTCCTGACAATGAGGTGCCCAGCCCGCGGATCGCTGGCGCGGGCACGAGGCCTGGACCGCTGTCAAAGCAGCAGAGTCCAGTGGGGGGCCAAGGTCGGCCGTGGCTCTGGGGGGAAAGCTATCAGAAATGAGGCCCACGAAGCGTGGGACAGAGTCCACGCGGCGAGCCGCGGCCGCGATCCAGTTCGCGCGGCTGCGCGCACCCAGCAGGCCCCTGCAATGATCGACACCTTCGCTCGGCCGGGCCCCCAGGGCAAACCCCTGCGGCCAGCCAGGCACGCCATGCGCCCCGCACCGCCCAGCATAACCCACAGCCAGCCGCACCGCGCAAGAAAGCGCACTGGTAAAACATGTTGGCCGGGAAGAGATGCAGCCAGGCCTGCCTACGACACAGGTCCAGCCCCAAGAGGGCTCCAAGAGAGCTCCAAGAGCCCCAAGAAGGCCCCCCAGACGCCCGAAGCGCCCACAGAGCCATTGCAACACCTCCCAAGGATAGGAGAGGGGAAGAGAACTAGTGGTAGGGGACACAGGCGGGTCAGCAGCAGCAGGGTGGGGTGTCAATCCTGGTGCGCCTGAGGGCAGCCGACGTCACGGCAACCCCGTAAGTCCGTACTCTCGCATCTGCGACTGGCGCACATGGCAGCGACTGATGACGCTATGCCTTCTGTAGAGCGCGCAGCTGACAGAGGGCAGGAAGGGATCCAGACACCCTACGTCGCGATTTTTGCATAGCGCGGGCCCCTGGAGACGTCAACTGACTCCTTCCCAAGGCCCAGCTTCTCAGCCCGAATCGATGTTTGACGGGCCTGCGGCCTAGAAGCCGCCGGGAGTCTGGCAGGGAAGAGAGCAGCAGCTGATGCTACGAGAGATGGATATATCCAGATCCATGCCTGGCGGTCTGGATGCCGAAGCGCGATCGCATCGATGCGCTCCGCCCAAGGCATCCGCACAAAGCCACTCTGTACCGCGAGGCCTGGATCCGGATTCGGCGGGGGCCGCTTCCAGAGGGCACACGAGGTGACACAAGCCCCCTGCGAGGGCAACCCCAACCCGTGCTCCCGTCGTGTAGAGAGCAAGAAGCACGATGGGCAAGACACAGGGGTGGGCACTTTTGGATTTTGAGGGTCGACGTACTATGTCCAGTATCAGCCAGCATCCGATCGGATCGGAAGTTGCGTCGGATCGGGCCGCATTGGCACGGCGTCGAAATTCAATCGGATCGACTGCGCCAGGATGCACAGCAGCGCCATGCGAGCATCGGGGCACATCGGATCGCGGAGCATCGCAATCGAATCGGATCGGGCTGGCCGAAATCGATACCGCATCGGTTAGATTGGATCGGAGTGGGCCCTGCTAGTCAGACCTGACTGTATGCTTCCCCGCCCACGGAGATGACGCCCTGCGTTCTGCCGGGGGGGCGAGCGACCCGACGTCCACTCCCTGCCGGGAGCGGCCCTCTGCTGGCAGCCAGGGGAGACTGCCTGGGCAGGTAGTGGGTGGTGCAACGTGAAGTGCCCATGACATGGGTATCGAAGCATCGTTAGCTTTAGGTCGAACATGGCCTCCTACAGGCGGATTTTGGAGGGAAAAAATGCCACTAAAAAACCTAAGAATAATCAAAGATACTAGAAAAAGCGTCACCACACAATTTTCTGACTATTTTTGAATATTCCTCCTGTAAGGGGACACGCCCGACTTAACGTTAGCTCGTATCTCGCCGCGAGACCGGCCGCCCCGAGGTGGGGCCCAGGCAGACAACCGAGAAGCCGGAGAGGGGGTGGTAGCGGTGAACGCCAGCATGGCAGTCAATGCGTGCCCACATCACAGCGAGCACAATAGAACCTGCTGGGGGAGGGGGATAAGGCTGAGGATGAGAATGAGGATGAGGATGAGGATGAGGACGACGACGACGACCACCACCACCACCACGACGACGACGACGACGACGGTGATGATGATGATGATGATGATGATGATGATAATAAGGAGGAGGAGAAGGAGAAGGAGGAGGAGGAGGCGGAGGAGGAGGAGGACAGGGAGGAGGGGGGAGGAGAGGGGGGGAGATAGAACGAGGGGGGGAGAGGGAGACGCGAGGGGGGGCAGAGGAGGCGGCAGGGAGGAGGCGCAGAGGGGCGAGGGGGCGAGGACGAGCGAGGGGGAGGCGAGGGGAGGGAGACGCCCTGCGTCCTGCAAGGGGGGGGGCGGGCACGCTCGCTCGCTCCACGTCGGCATCGGAGAGCCCCGCGCTCGTCAGCAGGGGCGGGCGCGAGACAGGGCGGGAGGGGGGGGGGGGGCAGGAGCGCGGAGAGAATGGCGGCCGCTCGC